CACAGTAGTGTATATAATCCTAATAGATACAACCAATTCTTTAAGGCTTGTTTTGTTTATATGATAATGTGAAGCTAAATACCAGGATTTTGTTGATAAATGCCACCAATTGTTTTAGTATAGCATTTTTATTTATTACACTTACAAATTATTGCATCGCATTTATGCTGCTTCTGTACTACTTTATAAACTTTGTGTAAACACCTTTTTTAAGAATTGCATTCAATGTATTTATAATTAGCTATATCTCTTTAAATTAGTAATATACATGAGAAAAAATTATTCCAAATATTTCTACCTCAAAGATTCTAAAAGAATCATTAAAGAACCGGAATCCTCACTATACCCATCCCTACTAGTTCTGAGCTAATGAATCACTCACAGGTTGCTCGTCATTCTCAAAGTCTTCATCCTCTGCTCCAATTATGTTCATGGCTGGATTTGAACTCTGAGCACCTGACGGCATGCGCTGTCGAGAGACAAAGATGAAGAAAGCATTAATAGACAAAATATTATAAAACAACATTTGTAGGATTTGCTTTTTATATCAGTAGACTGAGTTTCATTACAGGACGATAAGGATGACCTGATGGCCCGGGGCCAGACAATGTCAATATTCGACAGAGAGAAAATGTAAGAACAAATTCAATAAAGAGGAAAACGTTTTGTTAAGGAACTAAAAGAAAGTATTGCAACCAACGACACAATACTTCACACAATACCTAACAAAGAAGAACAGTTCTTTCCACACTACAAAAATCATCATGGATTAAAAAGAAAGCCCTTAACAAATGTTACATGCTACGTATAACGTTATACTGCCATTATGTGATCATTTCTAATTAAAGGAAAAGAATTGAAAACATTTGAGTAGCTGCCACAAATATTCTGACTTGAGGCTCAACTAAAACATTCATGCTCTGAACCGGAGCTCAGGGAGCCAAGAAGAACATTTAAACACGGAGGAGAGTGAATTAATATTCAAACTCCAGCACCTAAATGCAGCGCATTGTTTCACACAAGATAACACAGTAAAAACTGTGATCATATTTCCATTTCTTTCTACCTGTTGACAAACTTCAATTCAAATAGAGGAATATTCCATAAACCAGTCTAAAGAATCTTGGCCATTGGGCTGTAAATGTAACAGTGTTCTACTGTGAGAGCTGCTGAGAACAAATTTCCTCTGTCACTGTTGTGCAATAATAACAACTCAGTGGAAAGAAGCTGAAAATCCCTGTGCAAGTCGAACTCCAGCAATTCAACAGACTAAGTGTTTATTTTAGTAGAAACAAACAAGCAATTGTGACGAACACTACACGCACAAATCGAGCTAGTGTTTTCCCTGTACAAACGTTTTAATCTCAGATAAAACGTGCATGTGTTTACTAAACATTTATAGTTCAGTCAAAAATTTATTTTGTCATCATTTACTCACCCTTATGTTGTTCCAAACCTGTATCAAATAGCAAGTCATGCAGGTTTGGAACAACATGAGGGTAAATAAATGATGACAGAATTTTCATTTTTAGGTGAACTATCCCTTTAAGCAGAAATAGATATCAACATAGATCAACATTTAGTCATGTCAGAGCAACACACAGCAGTAGTGTTTTGTTCCGAATGAATTTTTGAACAAAGCATTTGAATCAATGATTCAGTGAATTATTCATCAAAAAACGACGTCACTTGTTGACACCTACTGGCATAATACAGAAAGCAGAGTCACTACAGAGAGGGTCCACGATAGTGTCTCATATCTCTGCTATGTTTACCACTGTATGGCCCAGACTCTGCGAGACCCCCTCAGAAAGGTCAGACCCCCTCAGACTGTTGAGAATATAGAGGAGTGTAACTCATGGCAAAAGACACAGAGAAACGAGTCAGCTGTGCCGCCCCACCTACTACAGCACATTCCTGATTTTATTAAGCATACAGAAACATTTTCGTCTTAGCAGCTGTAATGTCTGACAGTGTATGCCATTGTGAATTAGTGCACTCGTTGTCCTTAATCTGATGCGATTTTGATTTAATAACACAAATAAAAACTCTTTTATTACCCATCAATAACATGCATGTCATATACAAATTGATTCAATAAACACATTTAAAACAAACAAATGCACCTGTTAGATTTCATATAAATATTTCTGAATCTACCATGTCCCAGTAAGTCAGTTATGTGAAGATAAAATTGTGTTATATAATAACATAACAAAACATAACATATTAAAAAATTGAATTAGGATTTATTAATTAATATAATATTAATTAATTAATATTATATTAAATAATAATAATAAATTGCCATTATTAAATATAAATATATATTAAATTAATTATTAAATAAAACGTAAAATTCCCAATCACATTGTACAAAATTTTTACCAAAGCCAAAATAAATTAGCAATCTATTATAAGGAAAATATTATTTTATTCATTCAAATAACTTTAATAATAAAAAATACATAACTACAGTTAAATGTATTTGTCACGATTGCTACAGAGAGGAGCAAGGAACGCTGAGACGAGGAAAATGCAAATGACAGTCTTTAATATCCAAGGAAAGGGGTAATACAAAGCAGGCAGGCTACACACGTAGCACATCAAGGTAGACATATAACACCGGACAAGGGAACATAGGGCAGACAACACTTTAAATACAGGACTAAACTAGGTAATTAACGAGACACATCTGAACTAAATGAGACAATCACACATGGGAGAAACTGGGTCACGGGAAGCACGTGGGGAGAAAAACACACACAGACAGTCCATGGGCGTGACAGTATTAAAATAAATAACACATTTAATAATAATAAATAAATACATTAATTTAATTAATTCATATTTTTTCTTACACTTTTTTTTTCCTGTTAAAATGTTCAGATTCCAAAGCACATTGTAATAAATTTGTAATAAAACCAAACCAATGATTAATCAATTATGAGGAAAATTTTATTTTATTAAATCTTAAAACTAGGGCTGGTAATTTAACGCGTTAATTAGATTAATTAATTACGGTGAAAAATAACATGTTAAAATCATTAACGCATTTAACGCACTTGCCCCGCCCCAGACCTATGTGGGTGATCTGACATTTCATACAGTTGATTGATGACAAATATGAGGCAGGGCAACAACTCACTGCGTGATGAAGCCTAGCAAACATAGTTAGAATGTCCCTAAAATACAAGATATGGGGCAAAAATATGCCCCTTTTTGAGTTTTTGTCTCATATTTACATCACATAGTTAAGCAATATCACACGAGCAATAGGCTAAGTGCAATATCACACAAATGCAAATGTGATACTGATCTTATACAACAGTTCAGTAAGAAAGAAGTTAATATTGTGATATTTTAGACACAATGTTGTCTGTTTTGCTCAATTTTGCCAA